CCCTCCCCAGAGGGGCCACGTCCATGAATAGCTCACAGCGTGCAGTGTCGTCGCCCATGGCTGGCTCCAGATGACGCACCACCCCAGGTAATCGACACATCTGTATGTCGGCTTCTATTTTTTCCACCCAGATGTTTGAGTCCCTGCCACTGATGGCTGCACCCCAAGAAACCCCGGCCCTTTCTGGGAAAGAGCAGAGGCCTCTCACGAAAGGGACAAGAAGAGGATCCCCTACTGGGATCAGTGGAGGATCCCAGCCCAGAGATGACTGCCTGGGCCAGTGGTACAGCTTCCAGGCTTCTCTCCTGTTTTCATGTCTTCTCCTGTTCTAGAACATTCCATGGCTCCCCATGGCTCACATTATAGATGCATTATAGGAACCACACCTCACGTCAATTAGAAGCAATTCACTCCCTCCCCAGGGGACACTTGGCAACAGCTGGAGACATTGTTACTGCATAACAACCAGTTGCTGTCTCCGGGATTCTGACTCATGGAAATCCCACATGTGTCAAAGCAGAACTGTGTTCCTTCGGGTTTTCAATGGTTGATTTTTTGGAAGTAGATCACCAGGCCTTTCTTTCAAGGTGCCTCTGGGTAGACTTGAACCTCTAGCCTTTTAGTGACCAGCTGAGCACACTAACTGTTTATGCCACCCAGGGACTCCTGGAGGCATTTTCAGTTATCACAACTCAAGGATGGGAGTGCCACTGGCATCTAGTGGATGCTACTAACCATCCTACAAGGCCCAGGACAGCCCCCTATAAAAAATAGTTTTTATTAGGCACTGTCGAGTCAATTTTTAACTCATAGCAACCCATGTGACAGAGTAGAACTGCCCCATAAGGTTTTCTAGGCTGTCATCTTTACAGGAACAGATCGCCAGGTCTTTCTCTTGCAGAGCCCCTGGGTGAGTTTGAACTAGCAAGCTTCAGTTAGCAGCCAAGTGCCCCAAATGTCAATAAATAGTGTACCACAGGTAGTCCAAACTCAGGCTTTTCACTCAGTCCTCCTCCCCAACCTGAAGCCTCCAGGTTCTCAGTAGTGCCCCCTGCACAAGCCTCCACACCTCTGTGCACACGACTCCTCCACCAATGTATCCTTCCCCATCCATGCTCCCCACAACCTAACTCCTCCTGCCAGTGGCACCACCTCCAAGAAGCCTTCCCTGATCATTCAGGCCAACACATTCTCCAGCTCTGCTGGCAGAGACCTCAGACTGTGTGATGCAGAAGAAGCCTCTAGAGTCTCTCAGTGCAGGGTGGGCAGGGCAGCTGGGCCCAGGCAGCCTGCACATGGATTCGGCTTGTGTGCAATCTATCACCAACATCAGAAGATGTCACATAAAAGTCTGCGCTTCCTGCTTCTCTATGAGTCAAGAGAGCAGCCACCAGGGCCCACAATCCCTCATGGTGACGATCGGTGGAAAGGAGAGCAGCCCCCAGGGCCCACAGTCCCTCATGGTGACAATCGGTGGAAAGGACAGCATCCGCCAGGGCCAAGGGAGCACAGACCCCCAGTCATCTGACCCTCTGCACTCAGTTACATGACCTGGACCTGGAGGCACTTGAGTTTGAGACAGTCCACACTCCCTCACCCCCCATTTTGTAAGTGGAGATTGAAGCCCAGAGAGGGGCTTGCCCATGTTAGCGGTGGAGCTGGGAAGGACCCAGGTCCTGCTTCCCACGGGGGCACTTTGCACACCACACTGTCCCTCCGGGGATACTGCACCATTTCAGAATTCGAAGAGGCCCCGAAGACATGGTGCGGGACGGCCCCAGTGTCCTTCACACCCCTCAGGGTCACTCTTGCCTTAGAGGTGAGGACTTTGAGTGAAAAGCCTGTAGAGCAGGGCAGAGCAACCTTGGAGCTCCTTCAGAAACCAGCATTCTAGGATCCACCGGCTGGACTCCACGCGTGAGGGCAGTGGCACCATGTCTGACACACACTGGGCCCACAGCGAGGTACACAGAGTGGGGGCTGCCCTGTGCTCCAGAGGAGACACAGCAAGGATTCAGACAGGCTGTGCAGCCGCAAGCCTCCCTGCACCTCTCTGAGCCCCTGACCATACTCATGTGACAGGCATTGTGGTGGCAACTAATGAAAGGGATGGCACTAAGTGGGGGTTTCTGTCCCTGCCCCCTTTTATCATATGCTGTACACACATACACACACACACACACACACACTCCACACACACCACACACATATGTCACATCATACATGACACACACCACACACAATCACACGATACCCACATACCCACATGTGATACACACATACGCACAACACACACATACCACACATATGACACACACCACACACTGCACATCATACACATATCACACGTGTGCACACCTTATGTACACCCCGCATACATACATCACATGACACACATCACACACAACACACATGCATCTCATGCATGCACACATCACACATGCCTGGCACATGTGTCTACACACACCTTGTGCAGTTCCTTGAGGCAGGAACCAACCAGGCTCTTCTCTCTCCTGGCTCCTCCTATCCCTGTGGTCTTAAGGCCGTGAGGTGGCCACAGACAGGGTCACCATCAGGGTTTGAATTATGTCCCCCAAAAATATGTGTCAACTTGGTTAGGCCATGATTCCCGATATTGTGTGGTTGCCCTCCATTCTGTGACTATAATTTTATGTTAAAGAGGATTAGGGTGGGACTGTAACACCCTTACTAAGGTCACATCCCTGATCCAATGTAAAGGGAGTTTCCCTGGAGTGAAGCCTGCACGACCTTTATCTTACAAGAGATAAAAGGAAAGGGAAGCAAGCAGAGAGTTGGGGACCTCATACCACCAAGAAAGCCGTGCTGGGAGCAGAGCGCGTCTTTTGGACCTGAGGTTCCTGAGCTAAGATGTTCCCAGACTAAGGGAAGACTGATGACAAGGACCTTCCTCCAGAGCCGACAGAGAGAGAAAGCCTTCCCCTGGAGCTGACGCCCTGAATTTGGACTTCTAGCCTACTAGACTGTGAGAAAATAAATTTCTCTTTGTTAAAGTCATCCATTTGTGGTATTTCTGTTAGAGCAGTACTAGATGACTAAGACAGTCACTAAGAACAGAGGGAGGGGAAACTCAGACATCATAGCAATAAGGCCCTGGGGGCTGGTCCGTCCTCAACCCCCTCTATTTCAACATCCGCAAAGGGAAAGCAACCTGCAGGGCCTCACATGCCAGCCAGGGTACAGCCAGGCTCACTGTGGGTGCCCACAGAGTCATTGCTGACAATGGCTTCCCAGTCTCTAGTGAACCCTACAGTCTCCTCTCCCCAAAATTCTAGTGTTCCTCCACCCCCAGTCCCCCCAACACCAACTTGAGTCACAGCATCGGGAACCCCAAGCAGCAAAGCACCTGAATCAGTCCTCAGTCAACAAATACAGAGGCCCTACTATGTGCTGGCACTGTGAGCTCCCAAAAGGGAAGGGAAGTTTTATAGCCCGGGCTAAGCACTGACTACGTGCCAAGAACTGCACACCTAACTTCTTAAACGCTCAGAAGCAGTGATCACGATCCCCAGGCCACAGGATGCTGAGCTGCAGAGAGGGGGCGTGACCACCCAGGCTCACACAGCTAATGGTGGGAGAGCCCAGAGTCAAACCCAGGCCTGTCTGGCTCCAGCTAGTAATAACAATAAAGCACTTACTAGGTGTCAGGCACTGTTCCTGATATGAACTCCCTTGATCCTCACAACAACCCTATGAGGTAGGTATTATTATTATTAACAACCCCACTTTATAAAGGAGGAAATCGAGGCTCAGAGAGGTTAAGTAACTTGCTCAAGGCCACACAGCTAGGAAACGGTGAGGGGTGAGGCCAGTATTTGCATACAGGAGTCTGGAGCCAGAGGCTGTGCACTTAACCGCTGAGCATCATTGCCCCTGGGAAGGCTGGGCTCTCGCCCCAGCCCTGCTCTCCCTGCCTGCGACAGGAAGCAGATGCAGCCAGGACTAAGCAGCTGACAGCAGCTGACTGCAGCATGCCAGATTTAGGCTAGTTTTGAGGAAGCCTTTCCAGGCTAGTGAGAGAACTGTTAACCACAGACCTGAGTCTCCCGAGGAGGATTGTGCCTGGGTCTCGGGGAGCTCGGTGTAGCTGAGAGTTGGGGGGTAAAGTGGGAGGATGGTCTGGATGAGACAGAACCAAGACCTCAACCTCTATCTACCCAAAAAGAGGGGAGCCTGCAGCCCTGCAGAGGGGAGCTCCATGGTGGGCCAGCAGGAAACAAAGCCTTCACTTCACACCACCAGCTCCAAAGAGGAACTGCTGGGTCGTTATGTCCTTGGTCTTGCCCCACAGCAGCTAGGGCCAGGCAGGTTGCCCTACTTAGGATCACAAGGCCTCCATTTTTCTTTGGTGGGGAGAAGACTGTGGGTGCACCCAGCTGTAAGCTAAGAGGCCTCGGCCCCCTTTCCCCGCTGGAAGCACAAAGGGGAGCTACAGCAGCTCGGGCCCCATCCAGGCCCCACGGGAAGAATAGGGACTGTACTGGTGACCTGACCCCACATCCTGGCATAACCCCAGCCCCATATTTCTTCCAGATTACTGGCTTCCCAAAGCACTTTCACATCTGCTATTTCGTTTGCTCCCAGATAACCTTGTGACTATACTTTTGCCCCATTTTACAGAGACAGGAACTGAGCTCCAGAGTGAATGGTGTATTGAAGGCTCAGAATGAAGGTTCTTACTCCCACCACTGCTCTGCCCCAGGGACAGCTGCAGAGTCCCCTTCCCCCATGTGACAGAGAGGAAACTGAGGCCCAGAGCAGGGAAGGGGTTTGTCCAGGGTCCCACAGAAAGATGATGAACAGTGGTCCTCACATTTAAGGGGGCTCAGCAGGTCAGAGGCTATGCCACCCTTCCCCCCACCACACACAGTCAAACACACACTCACACAGACAGTCAGGCTCACTCACACATAGATACACTCACATACACGCCTCCCTCCCTGGGCCTGTCGGACACTCACCACATGGTAAATGGCCAGGGCGGTGGTGGCCATGCGGACATTGAAGCAACAGCAGGTCTGGCGGATGGCAGCTGTGCGGAGGGCCATGGCTCCACTGTCCCCTCCTCTGAGGCACTGAGGGAAAGGAGCCCAGTGCCGGGAGCAGGACAGAAAAGGGGAAGCTGCCAGCTGCCCTCTTCACTTCCTTCCTGTCCCTTAGACAGACTGGGGCAAGGTCGTCACAACTGGGGCGGGGCAGCTGGAAGGACGGGTGGGGGAAGGGCCACAGCCTGCCATCCAGAGCCACTGCGTGGGCCTCCACCATCCCAAAGGGGCTTCCAAGGGAGGGCAGAGCCTTACCTTATACCACAGGTGCCTGCTATGCACCAGGCCTGGGGTCTAGCACCTTCATGTGCCCTGCTCACTGAATATTCACCACCAACCTTGGAAGTAGGGACTATGGCCAAACCCGTTTCCAGATGAAGAAACAGGTCCAGAGAAGACAAGGCACTCACCCAGAATCATACAGCCATGGGTGCTGGTAGCGGGATTCAAACCCAGATCTGGCTGGCTACAAAAATAGCGATTGTCCAGTAAGTATTTCCCACATCAAGAATCGTTCTAAGCACACTCATGGATTAACTCCTTTGGTCCTCACCACAACTTTTTGAGGGAGATACTCTTCTTATCCCCATTTTACAGATGAAGAAATTGAGGCACAGAAAGAGGAAATGACTTGTCCAAGATCATATACACATCTGTGGAGCAATGGGGAATTGAACCCAGACTGACTGGTTCCAGAGCTCACCCCCTTGGCATGGTGGTCTTCCTGCTGTAACGCCCAGCCTCAGAGAAAAGCATGTTCTCCCTGAGCTCTGAAGAGGTGTGGAGGGCTCCAAACCAGAACAGAAGAACATTTCTCCTGTAAGTGCTTTACTGTGCATCAACCATGCACCAGCCCCAGGGCTAGGCCCTTCCCCTGACTGAGTCATTAAATCCTCACAGCAATCTGGGAGACCCTCAGTTATATCCCCCTTTGTGGACCTCAAGACACCCTGACATTTACATGCAATCAAAGATTTTCCCCTTCACGCTGGGGGAAAGTTGGAATTAATAAACCATGAATATTAAGCAAGCTAGGAGTCCCTGGGTGGTACAAACAATTAATGCACTTGTCTGCTAACTGAAAGGTTGGAGGCTCGAGTCCCCTCAGAACTGTCTCAGAAGAAAGGCCTGGAGATCTACTTTTGAAGAATCAGCCACTGAAAACCCCATGGAGCACAGTTCTACTCTGACACACATGGGTCTCCATGAGTCAGAGCTGACTCAACAGCAACTGGTTTTTTTATTAAGTGAGTTACACTGGGCTCTGTATTCCCTTTTCAGATGATAAATTATCCATTTTGTAATAAAGGAAGGGAACATGAAGCACTTGCAAGCTTCCTGTAAGAAGTCCTGCTTTGTCCGGAAACTGAGCTCACTTGCAATGTAAAGCTTCTAGTGAGAACAAAGCAGGGACTGCAATGCAGCCCCGCCCTTGTATGAGATGCTGGAGTTAGGATTGGACACTACCGCAGCCCATCATTTCTGCCCCAGGAGAGGTTAGAAAAGGTCTTCAACCTCCTCCTCCTTGGCAGGAGTTGTTCTACTGGACCCACAAAACTTGACTGACAAAGTTAGTCAAACCCTTTTTTATTTGCCATTGAGAGCAAGGGGGTCCCGTAAGCTTGGGCCTCCTGGGCTAGGAGCTGAAAGATGCCAGAAGTTGGACTTAGGCCCTATGGCTGTGGAACCCACACTCATAACCACTGCACTGCACCCTCTTTCTGTGACATCAGATAGTAGCAAGGCCTATGAAGAAAGATGAACAAGGCTTGAAAATGAAGTAGACATTTTAGATGGTCAGAAGTGGCGACATTTGTACAGAGACCTAAATGAACATCCCGCTCAACCTGCCCAGAAGTGGGACTATCTGGTGGCAGGTGGACCAGCAAGGGCAAAGGCCCTGAGGAGGGAGTGAGCTTGGCACCCTTCAGCAGCAGCAAGGCCAGACTGGCTGGACATGAGCAAAGCAGGTGCCCAGAGGGTCCTGAGGCCAGGCTGGGGCATCTGGGTTTGATTAGGATCTTGCTGGAAAGCCATTGAAAAATGCAATGCTGCAATAAATGGTAGCCATTAATAACATTATTATTTGGCAAAACTAGAACAGGTCTGGAGAGGGAAGCACCCCAGTGATGTTGTGTGAGCTCATTTTACATGGTATATATGGATGAACATTTTTCATTTTTATAGTGATAAATATATTTTAATGTGCATTATAAAAATATGCATAACAAGCCCACGAATTCTGTAATTTTCCATTTATGGGAGTAATATAAAGTCTCATTTTTAAAGCAGATGCACTTAAATAAGAAAGCAGTAAGGCGATTGGAAGAAAAATATTCCAGAAAGCCATGGCTGAGAAGGTGTGTCGATATGGCAAATACCTCAGAGGTACCGTGGACGTCACTGCCCGCTTAGTAGCTGTGTGATCTTGGACAAGGCACTTGCTGTCTCTGAGCTGCTGTTTACACACCCAGAAGAGCAGACTTTCTGCCAGTCGGGCTGCTGTGAGGATGCAATGAGGTCACAGGCGACGCACTATTTGCTTCCTCCCTTCCCTGCTTGTCTGAGTTATCTGGTGTTGCTATGACAGAAATACCACAAGTGGGTGGCTTTAACAAACAGAAATGTATTTTCTCACAATTTAGGAGGCTAGAAGTCTGAATTCAGGGTACTAACTTTTTGGAAGGGAAGGCTTTCTCTCCGTCAGCTCTGGGGGAAGGTCCTTGTCTCTTCAGCTTCTGCTGCTCAGCTCCTTGGCGATCTTCACGTGGTGTGGCGTCTGTCTTACCCCATCTGTGCTTCCTTGCTTCTGTGCCTAATCTGCTCCTTTTATGTCTCAAAAATGATTGGCTTAAAACACACTGTACACTGATATGGCCTTATTAACATAACAAAGAAAACCCTAGTCCCGAATGGGATTACATCCAAAAGTATAGGGGTTAGGAGTCCAACACATATTTTGGGGGGCACAATTCAGTTACTGCTCCACCACACTCACAATGCTGGGAGGAGGCAGGGCTGGGATTTGAACTTGGATCTGTCCCATGAACTGAGAACTAGGCTACGCCCCCAGGAGATGCCAGAGACAGCCCCTGTGGGTAAGTGGCTTCTCCTAGGCACCGTCTCCCCCACCAGAGGCACAGGAGTTCTGACGGAACATTCATTCCCCTCTGGATCTCAGGCCCAAGCACAATGCTGATCCCCTGGCAGGGGCCCTGGTCTCAGCCTATTGGAATGGAAGCCTGACCATCTTTATTTTAATCCCCACCAAACTTCCTGAGAAGGATCTGGATGCTATTATCAAAGGTCGGGTCCCTTGGCCAAGGCCGCTACAGTGGGCAGAATAAAACATGTCCCCAGAACCTGTGAATGGCAAAAGGGACTTTGTAGATGTGATTAAGTGAAGAATGTTGAAATGGAGAGATTACCCTGGATTATCTGGGTGGGTCCAATGTAATCACAAGAGACGTTATAAGTGGAAGAGGTTGGCAGGAGGACAGAGTCAGAGAGAGATTGGAAGATGCTGGCTTGAAGATGGAGGAAGAAGCTACAAGCCAAGGAATACAGGTAGCTTCTAGCAGCTGGAAAGGGCATGGAAACAAATTCTCCTCCAGAGCCTCCAGAAGGAACGCAGTCCTGCCAGCACCTTGATTTTAGCCCAATGACATTCATTTTGCACGTCTGACCTCCAGAACTGTAAGATCTTTGTAAATTTGTGTTGTTCTAAGCAACATCATCCTTGGTAAAACAGAGGGTCAACAAAGAAGAGGAAGACCCTCCACGAGATGGATTGACACAGTGGCTGCAACAATGGGCTCCAGCATAACGATGATTGTGAGGATGGCGCAGGACCGGGCAGTGTTTCATTCTATTGAACAAAGGGTTGCTGTGGGTTGGAACCAACCTGATGGCACCTAACAACAACAAGCTACTAAGTTCCTGGTAATCTGTGACCGTAGCCACAGGAAACTAACACACCCACTCCGAGGAGTCCACAGGGGAGCCCAAGTCCCTCTGACGCTGGAGCCCAAACCCTTAGCCTCCCCACCACACCAGGAGACCACAGTCCCACCCCCACCCAGAAAATGTAGCCCTTGACTTCTTCGCTCTGTGACTTTAGGCTAGTCGCGAACTTCTCTGAGCTTCTGCTTCCTCCTGCATGAAGTGAGCGGGGATAGGAGACCTGGTGGCACAATTGTTAAGCATTTGGCTGCTGACTGAAAAGTTGACGATTTAAACCCACTGGCTCCACGGGAGAAAAGACCTGGTGATCTGCTCTCATAAAGATTACAGCCTAGGAAACTCTACGTGACAGTCCTACTCTGTCCTATAGGGTCGCTGTGTGTCGAAATGGACTCAACAGCACATGACAATAGCAAAGTGAAGATAATGATGGTACCTAGCTCACTGTGGAGCAGTGGTTAAGAGCTACGGCTGCTAACCAAAAGGTCGGCAGTTCAAATTCATCAGGTGCTCCTTGGAAACCCTATGAGGGCAGTTCTACTCTGTCCTACAGGGTCACTATGAGTTGGAATCGACTCGACTGTGACAGGTTTTTTTTTGTTGTTCTTTATCTCATTGTTGGTGAGGATTAAATAAGAAAACTCGTACAGGTAGCAACCCTACACGATCCCTACTTCTAGTCTGCCCTTTTCCATTACATATGATAAATTCTGAGCCTCTCCAGACAATCTTTTATACTCTTTGTTAACTGGTGAAACCCTTGAAAATGCCAGACCCTCTGAACTCATCAAGATAAAGGAGAGGAAGCGCTTTCCCTCCTCCCACCGCCACAGCAGGGCGGATGCAGATCAGCTTCTAAAACTGTGCTGGTAAATATTATTTCTGACGGAGGAGTCTTATAAGACTCCTTGACTTCAGGGTTGATTCCTATAGCCTGGAAAGTCATCTTTCATCCTGAAAAAGTCTATAATTCTAGTTGGTTGTCTTGCTTACTAATTGGCCACCGTGGTGTATTAATATTTAAACGGACATGTCTGGTTCCTCAAAGGCAGAACGACTTGCGAGTTTTCTTTGTTAAGTTTCGGAACTTCCCTCTTCACCCACATG